AAATATATTCCAAAAGATATTTTCTTAGATACCCCTGAAATAAAATATCTTCAAAAGATATTTACGAAAAATACCCCAAGAAATGAAAAAGATTCTAAAGAATTGTGCATCCATGCCCCTGTGGGCACCGGGAGCAACCAGAGTACTTTCTTGCAAAAGTAAAGATACGTATTTCGAGAAAACCACTCAAGATGAAGGCACGTGAAGTCAAAAACCAACTCCGAGCATGAGAAGTGAGGTTGTGCCAAAAACTGACAAACGCAGATAAGACAGAATAGGGAAAAGGACGAAATAGCGCATAGTGTCAAAAAACGAAAAATGTGAAAATGAATCGGTCCTCAAAGGAAGTTGTCAATCCACGGAAAAGAGTCTCAGGAACCAATTTTGAGCACTCGAGATGACACTAAGCAACATGAAACAGAGCTCAGAAAAGAAAATTAAACGAAAAAAATTCATTCGTAAAATTTCAGGAAAAAGGAAAGGAAGGCAAATGACCGGGTCGTTATAACCTACCCTCCTTAAAGGAATTTTGTCCCTAAAATTAGGAACATACTAGAGAGAACAGAATAATGTCCGAACAAAGGGTCAAATCAAAGGACAGCTAACAACGCACTGAAGGACAAATCCTGAAGTCTAAAGATCAACTGAAGGAATGCGAAACCATGAACTGAGACACACCTCATACGAACCGGCACGTTAACTCAACGTCAACCACCGAGAGAATCGCAAGACAAAGGAACGTTGAATCACGATGAAATGAGAGAGTGACAAGGCAGTACAAACAGCAACTAGAACCCGCCCACACTTACTCGTTAGCAAGGTAGCATGACGGTATAAGGCACTAGTTCGTAACATACCCCAAACCAGGTCAACTATGAGAAAACTTTTGATATGGATGACATCAATGTCAGAATGATCATTACCAAAAGCACTGCGAGAACTAGGCATCTGCGAGAGTGGGGTATGGTCAAATAATATCTGGCCAGACCATCTTCGCCAATCCCAAAACTCTGACAACAATGCCCTAGGCACCGCTACGCTTAAGGCCTTAGATCTAGAAGCCACAAAGGAAAAGGAAATGAAATGGTGTCTCCCTGGCACACGTCTCACTCCACAAGACTAGGATTGCGATTCTACGTTCACATGAGCCTTACTCGCATCAACAAAACAGACAAGAAGGTTCCCGACAATGGTCCTTACAGAATGAATTTCTCCTATCTAAGGAAGAAACTCGTGAAACAAGAATGCATCCAAGGAATACGACAAATCCTATGAGACAATGTCAAAACCTGACATAAAGGAAGTAGCTAGCAAGCAGCATAGCAACGGACTATCTACTCAAGGTGCCACATAAGCAAACATGTCAAACAAAAATGCTTTTAAACATATAAGCATTTAAGTACAGAAAACATGTTATCACACCGAGCATGTTATAAAACAAAGCACGTAAACATGTTATAATACCAAAACATGTTATCATAGGCATATAAATAAATCAAGGTACACCAACAAAAGCATGATATGCACCCAAAACCCGTCGTCCTAAGGTTTTCGAACCCGGACGCTCTGATACCACCTGTGACAACCCTGGTTTTTAGGCCAGCGTGTCATGTGATGAACCGTAAGGATGATCCAATAACGGATCCGAAATGCGGAAGCGAAAACAGAAAATAAAACTCTAAAAAGTCAAAGTGACCTTCCATGAGGTCGTAGAACTCAATGAGAACTGATGCGGAAGCAAAAGATCAAAAATATGACAAATAAGCCCCCAGGGGCAAAATAGTCATTTCTGAAAACTGTAGATTCGGGTGCCACCGAGCACACCGCTAGAAGGACAACAAAAAAATAATTAAGATGGACTCTAGAATCGCATGATTCGGAGTCCGGACGAAGGAGAAACGGCATGACGAAGAAAAACAAGCACTTAAGGTAAAAAGGGTAAATTGGTAATTATCCAGGACAAACCGGGTGCAACCGAGCACGCCGTTGGAAAGACAGCGAAAAATTAGTCAAGTTCAAAAAAAAATTCACTTGAATCGGAGTCCGGACGAAGAAGAAAAGCCCAAAAGAAGAATTGACGTTGCGGTGGCCCGACGAGGGGGCCATGACAGCCCCAATGCGCGCCCATGCGCACACCCATGCACGCTGCGCGCGCGCTGGTCTCACACACGGCTGCCAGCAGCCCAAAAGCTGCTATGTGTTTTTTTTTCAAAAAAAAAAAAAATAGAACAGAGGATGAATTTGGAGGCCTAGCTGAATTTTTTTGCAAAAACACAAAGAAAAAACCCCCCTCAAATTGGGTTTTCTAAATGACTCGCAAGAGAATTAGAAAAAAAACGCAATGTAGAATATCCAAAATGCCCTTCCATGAAATCTGGTCATGGAGGTCCAAAAAGCTGCTAAATTGAAAAACTGAGAGCTGAACTTCGTAAGCGATTTCCGATATCAAGAAGACATTTTCTGGAAAAATACGGAAAAGAAACCCCCCCTAAAATCATGTTTTATATTCAACCATATCGAAAGAAGAAAATAAAACCACAGTGGAAAGTCTATAATGCCCCTAGATCAGAATATGCAAAAAAAGTGCGAAATGAATTCACAAGAGGCTCAAATCACCAAGGATGAGGTTTTACCCGGAAACGACCATGCACGCAAACGTAACTTACCTATTAGGACATGCTACAATGGTCCACGACTTAAAAATACCACCGATGCAAAATCCGACCCCCCAACGGGCAAAAAGGCATAAATGGAACTTGGAATGAAAATTCGGAATCCAAAAATACAAAACGGGATCAAATGACCGTTTGGCCCTTGGTCACACTTCAAACATGATTTATGAGACCCTATGAAAAAATGAGAACGGAATTCCCACACTCGATGCAACCATGGTGAAGCAATGACTTGCGATTTTTCAAGATTTTCACAATATTTCATGAAGTTAAAAAGTACATAGAATACAATATAATGGTTATTGACCTCCGGCCTCATCTCTTACATATCAAATACATTGAAAAGAGTGTACTTAAGTACACATTACATACATGGAATCAAATATACATATTTTGACATATAAGTCTACAAAATGACATTTCATGCTAACATTTGCATGAAATGGAAACTTGAAAGCTACACGACATCCAAGGAATGCTAGGCTTCACGAACCAAGTCTTCGTACCTAAAATATGCCCCAGTATCGTAGGGGTGAGTAACATAAAGCTACTCGTAGGAGATGAGCATGCATCGACCTAACATTTTACAAATTTATCACCTTAAGGTGAAACATGTTAAAGGGGTTCATGCCACCTAACGTCTATATCAAAATGAGACTCAGAGAGCATCCTAAGCTACCTTAGAGTGTTTCTAGCATAAATCACATCATCTATGCCATTTAAATAATATGGAAGCACGTTATACAAAGCAACAAGATATAGGTTCTTAAAGGTATTAACTTGCAATCTCGAATACAGAAACAACTAAAGTGATCATGTCACCTAACGTCTATGTTCTAAATAAGTCTAAGGGGTCGTCCTAGGCCATGCTGAACAATCAAAACACAAATTACAACTTCAGTGCAATCTAACCATATAAAAGCATATTATACAAGACAACAAAATACAATTTCTTAAAGCTATCAGCTTGAAATCTAAAGCACGAAAACAACAGAAGTTAGTCATGCCACCTAACGTCTAAGTTATAAATGAATCAATAGGATCAATCCTAAGCTTTGTTAGAACGTCAAAACACAATTTTCAATATCGATGCAATTTAACCAACATTAGAACTTCCAATACAACGCATAAAGCACAATTTCGCAAAGTTAACATCATGTAACTTAAAATGGAACGACAAATAAGAAACAACAAGTTACAACATCATCTAGTTATCAACTTGAAAATGAAATATGAAATCAAACAAAGTGGATACTCAGACGTCACGCCGGATCAGACCGACAACATAGTTACTTTAGGGTTACTAGCCCATGGGTAACCTCCCTATGTGCGCACTAGACTACATAGAGGGACTATCCCCCATATTAGAACCACGTCCTAGCCATAGCCAAACAACGACATCCCCAAGTTTCCAAAATCAACAAGTTGTGCAACAACGCATATATAACCAAGAATATGCAAGATAATCAACTCTCTACCAAGCACAACCAAATTTGGAAACGTATACAATATATGCTTTAAGTCCACAACTAATATGATATGATAAATGTCGAATCTTCAGTATGCGATTCGTTATACGCTATGCATGAATGATGTTAAATATGAAGTATGCAAATCATTACGCAAGATAACAATATATTCAAGATTCCTCAACCTAGTGCGACCCTTAATCCCTTGGGATGATCCCTACTCACCCTAACTATATTTTTAGTGAAAGGTAGTAGTGGCAATTTTAAATTGTAAAACTTGGCCACATTGCATAAACTTTGGGTTCGGAGTGCGACGATCGACGCACCAATCATTACAATTATTTTATTTATTTTAAGTTTCAGAATAGATCTTAGAGAACAAAGCTTTATAGGATGCTGTTCACTGCCACATTGTATAATCTTTGGAAAGAAAGGAATGATAGAATGTATAATGGAACTTTTGTTTCTCCGGTTGAAGTGGCTAAGAGTATTTTGTGGGAAGTAATGGATATCTTGGGGGTTTGCCTCTAAGATGTTATTTCAGCTCTTCACATTAGTTTTTCATCTAGAGGTTTGCTTGAAATTGTTTTGTTTTATGTCTTGATTTGCCTTGATTAGGCTGTTGTTCCATGTGGGGTATGTCCCATGTGTCTCTTGTATTTATTGTTTATATTTATAAAATTTCCTCCATTTAGGAAATTTTTTTTTATTTAATTTAAAATTTTAATTTAAAATTACTAATTTGGCTCTCAAATGAATATTCTCTGCCCATATTATTATTATTATGTCAGCAATACATCACTATAAGTGTAAGAGTAAAAAACTACTGTTTGACGGATAAAGTCAGCACAATGACGGATGAGGTCAGAACAATTTATTTGACAACACAGGACCAAGAAAAGAACAAATGGTGCGATCGGGGGAAAGGGAGGCGGCGGCGACGATGATGAAGTGCGTGTCGTGCAAGGAGGAGTACGAGGCACGTGACGCCGGCACGTGCAGGGAGTGCTACGAGGAGGCCAGCGAGACCGAGGAAGAGCTCAAGGGTGAGATCGAGGACTTGAAGGCCAAAGTCGCCTTCCTCCGTTTCTGGGCCCCACTCGACCACAGGTCCCGTCCTTGCTTCACCGACGTCGTTCTGGTCGCCTCCGATCACGATTCCGGTAGTCCGGCGACCAACCATGTTCCCGTCCCGGCCCATAAGGCCGTTCTAGTGAGTACCCATTTCTCCAAACTGCCTTGTATATGATTTGTTGAATCTTTTGTGTGGTTTGAATTTGTTTGATGTATGTGCAAGTTGATTGGGTAAGCCACAAACAAGAACAAAATAGGCAGTGAAAGGAATGATATAATGCTGTTTAATTTGAATTACTTATAAAGCAGAGGATTGAAAATTGTATAGAATGTATCAACAGCATTAAGCATTTCATAAGCTGTTAAACTCTAATTCTAGATTATAGCTTCCTATTATTCTTTATCCTAGGCATTTCATTTAGATTCAATTGTATTTTCCCAATTTAGTAGAATGAACTTGGGAATTTCTTAAATTTCCTATATTTATCTCCAGTTACATTTAATTATTAAAGTTATTCCTAATTACTTTAACCCATGTTAGTTTTAGGCAACTTTCTCTTATTTTATCACTGATAGGCATCACTTTTAATTTTGTCTTTCACATGTTAATTGTTGACCCTACCTCTTCTAGTCACTCCTATCATCCATCTCAACATTTTTATGTCATCTTCTTGAATGCATTGTTCCTTATTCTTCTTTAAGACTTTAATACCTAGCATGTACTCCATATAAGATAGTTGGTCTAACTATCAAATAGAATTTTCCTTTTAACTAATTTGATATTTGTTTATTACATAAGACACCACTAACATTTTTCGGATTTGTTAAACTTGTTTTTTTTCATAAGTAGGTATTTTATAAGATCACCAAAGGATAATACAATCAGTACAAGATGATCACAATGAGGGCATACCCTCACACTCCAATCAAGACTGGAAAGATAGACAAATACCACTTCCAGTACACGAGGAAACAAAAATAAAACAAAATGACAGCTTCCTTGGTTTTTTTTTTTTTTTTTTTTGATAAGTAAATTGTATTAAAAGCATCAAAAGGGAAACGCGTCCCAAACTATACAAAGACAAAACGGAGCCTATGAACTCAAAGAGCCCATAAAATCAACAATATCCTCAAGAGAGGAGTAGTCTCTCCCCCGACCCCAACAAAACAAATTACAAATGATAGGAAATTTTAACACCCCAATGGAGGATTCCTTTCCCTCAAAAGATCTTCCATTACGCTCTCTCTAAAGGCTCCACCAAATACAAAAAGGGGTCACCTCCAAAAAACTCTGGCCTGAGCCCCCACCCATTGGCCCCTCCACATATCTAACAACTCCCGAGATGACCGAGGCATGACCCAATGAATACCAAACAGGCCAAACATCAAACTCCAACAATCATGAGCCACAGGACAGTGCAACAAAAGATGATCCACCGACTCCCCATTAATCTTGCAAAGACAACACCTATTAATAATGATATGCCTTCGCTTCCTCAAATTGTCCAAAGTCAAAATCTTACTCCAAGCTGCAGTCCACACAAAAAAGGGCACTCTAATTGAAACCAACATCAGTGATCTGAAACCATGTCCCTTTAGCAACATCAATAGCAGAATGACAGCTTCCTTGGTGGAGTCTAGCATTCCTCTCGCCCCATATAGCCCATAGCAAATTACCCTTTGTAAGCAAAATAAACCAATCAATAAGTTGATCAAACCTGTCCAACAAAGGCATAGCCAAGTTTAGGATGTCATTAAACCAAGCCCAGACCTGTCTAGCCAAAATGGCAGTTCAAGAACAAATGATCTCTAGAATCCATTGCAGAGAAACATATGGAGCAAGCAGATGCTAGGTGGATCCCCGTTTTCTGGAGATCAACAAGAGATGAATGTTCATCTTGAGCAATTAAGCAAGTAGCAACACACGTTCTTGGCCTGCCCGTGTTCCAACATAAGTTTCTCCAAGGAACTAAAGGATGATGGTGTCTGCAACAATTCCATGCCTTTTAAAAAGAAAACTGACCACCATTCCATAACAATCTCTCAGTTCCAGCATAAATTCGAAAACCATAAATGAATCGTTTCAACTGAATTTGATCCTGCACCAGAAAGTTAAGATTCCAGCTCCCATTCTATATAAGAACCTGCAAAGTAGCTTCTCTAGGAAAAGGAAAGTATCTCACAACTCTATGACCAAACCTTTGCTGCCGAGTAGCTCCATTACACCATGGATCATTAAATAAGCTAATACAAAAAGTCACTAAATGATATAATTTGCAACATAATATCTCTAACAGAAAGCATCCGTTTCCAAACAGCCGAGTGACTTGTTGCATGGAATTTCCTCAGTCTGGCCTAGCAACCTTCTTCCAAGAGAGATAATGAGTTTTAGCCATAGTCTCTCTCCCACCCCAAATAAATTTTTAATCTTCCTTTTAACAACATGACAAATTGACCTGGGCAAATGGAAGACAGAGCATCAATAACCAAGAAGAGGAGTAATCACAGACCTAACCAGTTCAATTCTCCCAGCAAGATATAGTATCCTATTTGACCATCATAGTAACTTTGCATTGATTCCATCAATCAAAGGACCACAAAACTTATTCTTGAGGTTCAAGTGATGCAGAGGTAGCCCTAAATACTTCACTGGGAGTTGCGCTTCTTTGAAGCCAAGCAGTCTTTGTAATAACTTCTTCCTCCTCACTGCTTTTGAGAAGAAAACCACTGACTTGTCAACATTTGCCTTTAACCCAGAAACCCTCTGAAATTTTCATAGGACATCTATGACAGTGACAGTAGATCTGTAGTCAACATTTATAACAATCATTAAGTCATTTGGAAAAAGCAAATCTCTCACACCAGAATTGGCCTTCACTGCAGCTTTGGACAGTTCAACAACACCTGCAAGAACCTGTCCATGAAGTAAAGTAGATAAATACTCATCCGGAGCACTGATCTGTAGACACACAGATCGAGGCTCAGATTTCTTTGGATGGCGAGGGGGGGGTAAGTCCTTTCTTGATACGGCTAACTTGCCTCGCGTCACGACAAATGGGGATATTGATTCCTTCCGAATCACAGAGGGGCATGTTTTTAGGGTTGATGTGGACAGTACGGCGGCTTGCGAAGACATGCTCAATTCGTGTCTGGTTGGACGATTCAACAAGGACGTAGGTTGTCTTGGGAGGATTGAGGAGCGGGCATCAAAAACTTGGAGGATTTCTTGTGGGGTGAGGGTGTCATTTCTGCCCGATGGTTTGATCCTGTTTAGGCTTCCATCGGAATCCGAGGCCTTACGGGCTCTGGTCTATGGAAAAAGGACGTGGGTGATGCTTGTTTGTTAATGGATGTGTGGTATTTCGTGGTTGGTTGTTCGGCGGTGAGGTTGTGGAACAGAAATAGAAGAGTGGTGTTGTATGGGCTCCCTTTACATTTATGGTGGCACAAGCTCTTCAATGCCAAAGGCGATCTGTGTGGCGGATTTAGTGAAGTGGAGGCAGATGTTTCGGCTGCCGGAGATAGAGTTGTCCTCCTTGTCTCTGACGGCGGTGTAATTCCAGAGGTGGTGTTCGTCGAGGATCAACGGGTGGCCTTTAAGGTTGTACTGACAGAAGAAGCAACACCATTGATTTTCCCGAAGTGTACTGATCTATGTCGGGATGAGAGATGAGGGGAGGAAAGCACCGTATAGCCATGGACAGAACGAAGCTCCAAGTTCAGGTTTTAGGGCAAGGAAAGAGACGCGTCAGATTTATGACACGGAGCGCAACTGTGGAAGAGAGGGTTGGTACGCGTGCGAGGCCACGTGGGCATATCAGAGGAGATAAGATTCAGTCAAATATGATTGTTGATGATGGGCTGGTGTATGGGCTTGGTCCATCTAATTCTGTGGGTAGAGGGGGGGCCTTTTCACAACAAGTATTTGGGCTTGGGGCAGCCTACAGACAAGCTAGGCCAGGGGTGGCTCCTTCAGCGTATGATGCTGGTGGTGGGCTCAATAGGCCCAAGGTTAAAGGATGGTTGGGCCAGACTGGAGTTAATGACTTGCAAGGTAGAAAGAGGGTGGTCCAGTCCAATTATATGGGCTATCCATTTCTTTAATAGGCCTGCCCACCCCTATTACTAATACGAAGGATAGAAAAATGCGAGGTGTGAAGGATAATGTGTTTTCAGCATCACAGAGAGACATGAGGACCTCGGCACCTCCGCTGCATCATGGTTCTGAGGGGAGACAATGGTCGGCGGCAGAGAAGAGCAACTTGGTGAAGGTTAGCAGAAGATATACTGGGTTGGGTGCAAGAGGGAAGACTTTTCGGCATGATAAGTGTTGTTAGAGTGCTTCAGAGAACATGTTCGGGCCTCTCTTTTCAGTGGTTGAGCTTTCTGAGGGTAACGGTCAGGCTAATGCTTCACAGTGGAGTCATGAAAGGTGATGGTCACAGCATGAAAAACAAAAATGGGCTATTTACAATCATATAGAAGGTGGACCTGGTATGTCTCAGTCTCTGCAATCTCAAAACATTCTTTCTACCCCTTCTTTTTCTTCTACTCCTTGTTGGGTGTTGAGGGGGGCGGTGGGGGAGAAGAATCGGAGACTAACGCCTGTAATGGAAGGGGTGGCTGATGACGAGGAGAACGATGGGAGGATGAACGGAGATGGGTGCCTTGGGTTGTCAGAAGGGGATGCGACGCTCGGGGAGGATGAGTTTAGAGGTCTGACTGTAGAAGAGGTTGATGGGGTGATGTGTGGGAAGAAATGTGAGGTTCAAGCTTGGTCATGAAGCTGCTTCGGTTCTGGTGAAGGAGCTACACGCATATAAGGCACTGAATGGATTGAACCGAATTTTGGATTTTGGTTCAGATGCAATTGGGGAGGTTTTGGATGATAACGTAGGTACTCCTACTTGTATTGGAGTGGGTAGCATTGCTGAGGATGACAGAGGTAGGGATACAAAGGACAATGCGCTTTTTGACAGGGAGTTGGTTTCATGGGAGGAGGCCGAGGTTCTAGGGTGTATTCAGCCACTGTCGAAGATACGACCGGAGGGGAGTTGGGGGGTTTTCCTATTGCAGCTCATGAGGATAGTGGGGTGGATTGGGTAAAGGAGAATATTGAGGGTGTGAGTAGTTTGTTGG